AGGTATAATAACAAGCAACATACACATCTTCGCCCGCACGATGACTTTCAAGACAGTTGCTATCAGCCATACTCTGCAAGCCAAACGTTTGTATCCGCTTAACTCAAGTAACTGAATCAACTTGACCTAACCTCACTTTGAGAATGACCTGCTTGATGCTTCTTTCCCCATGTGTTTTGTTTTTTGTTTTGTTGGGTTATGTGCTTTCGATCTAACTAGACCATTTCAGAGCCGGAAAATGATAGAAATAGGGGAGACATTGCTGGGCAGGCACTCCTATGAGTCACCGGGGCTGAGCCCATCTGCAGTGGACAGGCCCCGAGCCCCAAAACCAGGCTGCGGAGTCGATGGATTTTCGGCGACTCCGACTCCGACTCCGACTCCGGCTTTCAAAAACCAGCTCCGACTCCGACTCCGACTCCGGGCAGAATTGTCGACTCCGACCGACTCCAACCCGACTCCGACTCCGCAGACGCTAGCAGGCTGCGGATGTTGCCAGATTTTCGGTGACTCCGACTCGCGCCTCCGGCTCGGGTTTCTAAAATCGACTCCGACTCCGACTCCGACTCCGGTCACAACTGTCGACTCCGACCGACTCCGACTCCGACTCCGACTCCGACTCCGCAGCCCTGCCCAAAACACTCATGCACCCGGCTACGTGCGTGCTCCTATGGAACTCCCGTAGGGGAAAGTGGGGTAAGACGGTCAGGGTAGGTAAGACGGGCACCCCTTCTGCAGACCAAACCATAGCGCTACGAGCAGAAAAGTTAGGACCAGAATTGCCTTTCCCACTACACACCACCATTCAAGTTCTGGTGAATTTGTGTTCAGTCGATAATCTTTTATTTTGATTTCTTTAAAACACTCATTTCATTGAAAACCACCATAATGTATTGTGCAGCTTTTGTGTACAGCACTATAGAGTTAAAAACTCGCAATCACTTGTGGTACACTCATATGCCAACAGTGTTCATTTACGGCGGTTGCTTTGTCTGCACAAATTGTCCACAGCGAAAAATCGTGCGAACTTCTGACATTGAGTGTTGGGGTAAGACGGGCAACTATGAACCCAAAGGGTCTGTAATGTGAAAATATTTTTGTTGCTGTAGGAAAAAAGCATTTCTAATAAGAATATGTTCGATTCCGATACTCAGACATGTTAGCAATATTCCTTCGGCACAGTTTATTCTCGAATAATGAATGTGAAAAACGGTTTCTACATGGCTTCTGAACTAGGGCCTATATAGGAGCATACGCCTTCTGCACGAATCTCGTATACTGCCATTTCCGAAGCACTTGAGACCAACGAGCGACTGTATAAATGCGGCTAATCTCGGGCATTTGTTGCGAGCTGCGCTGATCGTGAAAGACTGGCCGTCTTGCCCTACCCATGACCGTCTTACCCTAGGGGGTGGGGTAAGACGGGTTTTGCAAGGTTTTGCAAAAATAGCTGCAGTTTATTTGTTGAATCAGGTCTAAGTCTCATCTTCTGGCAAATGAAAGTAAAATGTCTGAAAAAGGTTTTCACCCATTTCCCGTTTCTATGATGTTTCTAACCCCGGCCGAAAAATGGCTCCAAAGTTAAGGTGCCCGTCTTACCCCACTTTCCCCTATGTGATAAAGTTGCCCGTTCAGCCCGGAACAGGGGATTGAGGCATGGAGTGAAGGATTTTATCATCCTAAGGACGGGAATAATGGATCAGTGTTTAATTCTTCACACTATGTAAAAATAAGATTGTTATGAAACATCTGTCTCATTGTTCAGTGTCCAATGTCCGTGTCCAAAACGGGTCATGTGTCATGTCGAAATTTGATTAGTAGCAAGTGCTCTGTCAGTATGCATGCACATGCCTAGCCTCCTGTGTACCTTACATATAACCTCCCTCCTCTGTTCTACCCACAGCCTGACTGGATCATCGCCGATCCGATCTGCACCTTCATCTTCTCAGTAATCGTGTTCTCCACCACGATCGGTGTGCTCAAGGACGCCCTCAGAGTGCTGCTCGCCGGTAGGTGACAGCACAGTGGGGGATAGTATGTATACAGGTGGCGCCTCTCAGAGTAGCAGTTCCTGGCAAAAGGAGCTCTGCTTACAGAGCGACTATCACTCGTTACCCGGCACCGCCCTGGGCTATTTCCGTACCCACATCAGCCTGGGGGGGGGGGGGTCGGATCCGACCCCCCCCCTGTTATCTCGAGAACCAATGGTCGTATCGAGCCCGCGAGGCGGCGTTCGAAAGGTCTCTACGAGACCTTCCCAAAGCACTCTTAAGATTTTAAGATTGAGGTCAACTTTCGGGTCAAGGTCAGGTCAAGGTCAAATTCAGGGGTTTTGCATGATTAGGCTTACGGACTGCGGAATCGATAGCTGCTGCTCGAAACTCACCACAAATGACCTCAAAGACCTAGTGAAGGTACCATGTGCGTATAGCACGGTTCGTCGGAAGGTCATCTCAGGCTCAAAAGAAACGGTATATACCATTCGAAAGCTGACGGTGAGCTGAATCCAAAAATGCAATTTTTATCAAAATCGATCGATGGCCTTTTTTGAAAATTGCGTTTTTTAAAAACTTAATATTCTTATATTCAACGGGCTGTCCCGGACATTCTTGAAAACATAAACATGTATTTTTGAGTTCCAGTGAAAGCTGAACGCCAATAGAACAATTTAGCGAAGCATATTTCCTAACATTAATATGCGTCTCCACAGCCGACAATAAGGCGCAATCACACAGCTCTGTGTCACGATGGACCAAAGTCAGCCACACAGAAGCGTGAAATGACCCTTATCGACTCGCAGACCCGGCGCTCTCGGCCCGCCTGACCGGCCACGGAAAGAACGTTCGGCTCTCGTTCTACTAAACAAATGTCATATTTTCAGTTTAACTGTCCACATCGCTATTAAGTTATTCAGGATACCTGTGAATAAATTCATTGTTGTGCTTGATTTAAAACATGCATGCTTAACCCTCGCGCCGTATAGGGGGGGGGGGTCGAACGGACCCCCCCATGGTTTTTTCGCGAATAACTCGCGTAAAAAGCGGCCGATCGCAACGAAACTTTCAGTACCCCTCGCGTTGATCAATTTTACACCCATTCTGAAAATTTCATGACCCTGACCCCAAGACCTTTGACCTGTGACCTACTTTTCGAGACCATGTTTGGCCGGAATCGCGATTCGGCGTATGTCGGCTCGCATTAGCCGCGCGTTTGCAGTCTTTTCGTGGTTTCAAGCGTTCAAACATGTGATATGATGTGCCCCCATGCATTAGGGTGGTGTCAAGGTCATCTGAAGGTCAGGTCAGGTCATTGACCTTTGGTGACCTCGGTTCACTTTTTCGAGTTTTACATGTTTCTAGGCCAGTTTTTTTAGCTGAATTCGAATTTAGTAACCAATGAACGTTTACGAAGTAGTTTTGGTACCTTCGTAACATGTTCGAAGCTGTCAGAGGCGGTTGACACCTACTAGGAATACCCGGCAGGACCCCTACTGGTTGACCTGACCTGACCTGACCCGACCTGGACTAAATGCATAAAGACATCATCTGTGATCAAAACTAACATGATATTCGTGATCGGCGCCCCGAAACCCCCATAGCAGCCACACTTTACCACGTTTAACAGGTCCCGATTTTCCCGACTTTTGGGTCATTGACCTGACCTGCAAGGTCAACCAAGACCTAGGACCTTAAAATTAGGTATCATCGGCTTCCTCTCGTGACGGGCAACACGCTCGTTTTTTGCCGCAAAGCTCTAGCTCGATCAGGGGCGAAACGGCAAGGGGGGGGGTCCAACGGACCCCCCCTTATACGTTCGCGGCTGGAAAAACACCAATACGGGCGAGGGTTAATTTACATTTTTCTTATACATGTTTTGTTCCATCCAGCTGCGCTCAGTGCCCGCGCAGGGGAAGTGAGCGGGGTTTCACTGTCAGAGGCTGTACTGGTGGACAGCTGCTCGGCCGTGCGACCGGTCAAAGGTTACCCTGCCCCGCCGGGCGCTACCCCCACTCACCGGAGCTGAGGCCGGTGCAGCCTCTGACATTTCAGCGCGGCCAATTTTCCTTATATGGGCATGATACCAAGCTCAATTGAGCAAAGTAGACATGAATAAATGCAAATTAATGCATAATGTGAAGATGACAAAACAATGAATTTTCTTCACAGGTATCCTGAATAACTTTAATAGCGATGTGGACAGTTAAACTGACAAATATGACATTTGTTTAGAAGAACGAGAGCCGAACGTTCTTTCCGTGGCCGGTCAGGCGGGCCGAGCGCCGGGTCTGCGAGTCGATAAGGGTCATTTCACGCTTCTGTGTGGCTGACTTTGGTCCATCGTGACACAGCTGTGTGATTGCGCCTTATTGTCGGCTGTGGAGACGCATATTAATGTTTGGAAATTTTGCTTCGCTAAATTGTTCTTTTGGCGTTCAGCTTTCACTGGAACTCAAAAATACATGTTTATGTTTTCAAGAATGTCCGGGACAGCCCGTTGAATAAAAGATTATTAAGTTTTTACAAAAACGCAATTTTCAAAAAAGGCCATCGATCGATTTTGATAAAAATTACATTTTTGGATTCAGCTCACCGTCAGCTTTCGAATGGTATATATCGTTTCTTTTGAGCCTGAGATGACCTTCCGACGAACCGTGATAGGGGTCATACTAAGTACGGGTCAAGGTCAGGTCAGGTCACGAAAGGTCACGGTTTTCACTTTCTGCTACATGGGCGTGCGACACATGTTTTATGGCTTATTTTCACGCCAAATCCGATGGTAATGGTTATATGTGACCCCAAGTCACTGTGCTGGTGATAAGTGTGCATTGAAAACATAAAAAATCGTTTATACCATACATAACTAAACGAGGGCTAAGAAAAAAAGTCAATTTTTCAACTTTTATTTTTGACATAAAAATGCACTTTTCTAGACGAGCTTTGTCCCAGGAATCTAGTGGTGCCATTTGTTTTCACATGCGATGTTCAGAAGTGCCTCTAATTCGCGAAAACGCTTATGACGTCACCATGCCCTATGCATGTTGGAGCTATTTTTTACAATTTGGGGGTCAAAAATCAAGATAGAAAGTTGAAATTTGGGACATCTACTGTTCTAATAGATTTCTATAACATATATTCAGGTTTTTCGGAAATTTCAAAATTTTGGATTTTATTAGCTGTTTTCCAAAATATAGTTTTTTGAATTTTTAGGGTGAAAAACGCATTTTATGGAAAATCCGAGATAACCATTTTAAAGAACTCGTTGAGCTGCGTCTTTTCATGTTCTTAATTTGCAATTTGCTTAAAACCTCGATTTTTGGCGATTTTTTAAACATTTACCATTTTTGACTGAAAACGCCATGTAGTTACATCACTAAAATCGATATATCTCAGAAATTTTTGAATTTTTTTTCTTAGAAATTGCACAGGAGACGTCAAATTGATGGGGGAGAAGGTATGCGAAGTTTCAAGTTGATAGCTCAAGCGGTTCATGAGTTATTCAAGAAAAACGAAGGGGGGGGACTGACTGACTATGACTATGACTCACAGGTCGCTCCGTGATATGACCGACCCCTGACCTGGCCACCATGACCAATGATGAAATTCCACGCCCGCTCCCCCAGCCACACCTCCCGAACTGAACCTCCATGACATCTCTGCGGCTCTGCTCGACGTTCCTGGCGTGGTGGGCCTGCATGGACTGCGAGTGTGGGCGCTCAGCATGGATACCAACGCCGTCATGGTGCACCTGGAGATCAGTGAGTGGGGAGAGGGGGATGGCAGAGGGACTGAGAAATGAGGTGGAGGGGGAGGGAAGGGTAGGGAGAGGAGAGAGCGAATGAGGGAGATAGTGAAGAGAGAGAGAGAGAGAGAGAGAGAGGGGAGGGAAGGAGGAGAGAGGGAGATAATGTTGAGTGGAGAGAATAGAGGATATGTTGATAAAAAAAAACTGCTTTAGTCAGTACCCCGTGGTTACAAGCCGTTGAAGATTAGCGTGTGTGCATTCAGTAAAATGAAGTGGGCGATGCAGTCTAAATTTGTTATATTGCATGAAACTAAATGTCTGACTGTCGAATGCTGAACACTGTTATAAAGCAGTATCATTTTATCGCTTTCTCAGAGTATTACGAAGACGGCGCAGCTGCTCTCGAAAAGGCCACAGACGTCCTGCGGAACAAGTTCCACTTCTACGAGATCTGCGTGCAAGTGGACACCTTCACGAACAGCATGAACCACTGCACGATCTGCAACGAAAACAAAGAGGTCACCACGCGGCCGGGCACTGTGACCGTCTGAGGCGGGGCACCACCACCACCACCACCGCCGCCGCCGCCGCCACTGCGAACTACCGCCAGTTTCAGTCACTAAGAGGAGTCAGTGTGTAGCGCCGCCGGGGTCCGCCAGTCCACAGCGTGCGCTCCAGAGCAGGTGCCATCAGCGATTGATCCATCTTTGGCAGTCGGCCTAACTCAGTGGTTGTCTATGAACAGAGCCGTCCACTGTGGCAGCTATTTACCCGCAGAGCCGTCCACTGTGGAAGTCTATTTACCCATATCACCGTCCACGACTCTAATATTTTTATCACATAGCCGTCACTAGTGTCAGGTCTGTGTGTATTGTCGTCCACAATGATCAAATAAATGAGGCCCTCTGTGGTGTCTACGAAGCTCCCCGTCTACAACAGCTGTCTTTTCTATAGGATTATCGTTCACTTTAGCCATTTAGCCATTAGCCGTCTGCTGTAGCTGTAGCCGTCTTCAGCCGTTTATTGTAAATGTCTCCTGTAGGCATTTACAATAGCCGCCTGCTTTAGCTCTCTAATTTAGCCGTCTGCTGTAGGCAGCTGTCTACAGTAGCCGTCTACAGCAGCCTGTCAACAGTAGCTGTGTTTTGTAGCCGTCTTCTGTAGCCGCCTGCAGTAGCTGGTCTTCATTATCCGTCTGCTGTAGCCGTCTGCTGTAGCTGTCCGCTGTAGCGTCTACAGTAGCCGTCTACTGTAGCCGTCTACTGTAGCCGTCTGCTGTATCCGTCTGTTGTAGCCGTCTGCTGTAGCCGTCTGTTGTAGCCGTCTGTTGTAGCCATCCGTTGTGGCCGTCTACAGGAGCCGTCTGCTGTAACCGTCTGCTACAGCCGTCTTCTGTAGCTGGTCTGCAATAGCCGTCCACGGAAGCCGTCTGCTGTAGCCGTCTACAGAGCCGTCTGCTGTAGCTGTTAACAGCTGTTGTAGACATCTGTGGTATCTACTACAGCCATCTACTGTAGCCGTCTTTGGCTGTGGGCGTCTATGACCCATATGGTCCGCTACTCGTATGCCCGTCTTCGGCCGTCTATGGTCGTCTTTGGCCGTCTGGAGTGGCCACCTGCCGTCTGGCGCCCGCCCTGGTTGTGTTTTAAATGTGGATGTCGTCTGAGGCATGTGAAATGTAAATGAGACCTGTCGTCTACTACGACCGACTAATTATAAATCGCTGTGGAATTTCTTACTGTGGTCATAAGTATTATGTAATTGTTAAACTTCTTGTTTTCAAGCGATCTGTACGAATATTTTCGAAGCTGAAGCGTTTATATGATGTCAACAATAACATCACCGATGACGCATTGTTAACTTTGAGGTGTACTGTAGTCGATAAGCGGTGAACTTCAGACGGCAAATAAGCGTCACTTTTGATCTTGAACCGTAACATTTGTGCCATGCTTTTGACGTAAGGCTGGCAAGCATCGACGATCTTACACTGTGGCCAATGCATTTATAAATCACGTGTCGAGTGCGTGCTCTTTATGGAATGATATGATGTTGCGAACATGTGATAGCCTGAATTTGCATATGTCCGGCAATGATGTAATCATAAGTCGAATGTATTTCATTGCTCAAGGTAGGAAAACTAAAATGAGTGAGGAGACAAACGACCGGTTATCATATTTGCTCAAATATTGTCTTGCAAAGTTTCGGCAGCGTTATTGAGAACAAAAATTGCGTTGCGCAAAACATTACTCGGATATGTATGTGTTTGTCCTAACTGGTGAAGGTTTAAAGCATTGAAACAACTGATATTATTGTTACATTTTTAGCTGTGGCCTGTGGGTTTGGTGTGTTTTTCTTGGGACTGTTTTTTGGGGTATTCAATTAATAACGCTGGGGCATTCCACGATAGATCGTACCACTTTTTTCCAATTTGACACCCTCATCTCTCGGATTTTAACAATAATTGGTGTAAGGGGTAATCAGGGGCTCTGAATCCTCCTGTAACAATTTCAGGCTTATCAGATGAGTGGTTTTTGAGTTATAGTGTATAACATGTTTTGGATCCTGCGTTGCAGCCCCGAGTTTGGCGGGCTGTAACTCTAAGACGGATAATCCAAATGCCAAATGCTGTACGGCATTGAACTTGCATTGAAACAAAGAATAATATGCATTTTTTTAAATCTTGAAATTTATATTATTTTTGATATATAACACCTCGAGTTTCCTTTCATTTGCATTTTTATGCCTTTGGGACCAATTTTTTTTGAATTTTTATTTACTTAAAAACATTTTTGGATCATTTTTAAGTAGTATGCAAAAAATTAGGAAGGTGTTCTTTCTATAAATGTACTTATTTTGCGTCACCGTAATGGTCTCGAATTGTGATTTCGGAAGAGAGCCTACAAATGGTGTGGTAAAGCTGCCTAGTGACATCATTGGTTACTGAATGTTCAATTGAAGCCATTTTTGCCTCACTTTTGCATTGTTGACCTTGCGTGACGTCATTCGTACGTCACTAGGGTCATAAGAGTTTTTCGTCAATAACTCTCGATCAAATTGAGCTAGAGAGACGGAAAAGCTACCAATGGACTCGGGAAGACGTTGCGAATCAAATGATGTGCAATATGATATCATTCACCCAGCTTCGTGGCCTGACCGGACTGTTAACCATCTCTGTGGCGGCGCTGTTTGTCCAGCGCCGCGCTGGTTGGCTTTGCCGCGGACTCGGGGCGGTCACGTGATGCCCGGCGGCTGGCTGCCGGCTGGGCCGCCCGGTCGGGGAGCGGAGCCAAATACACGGCAGTGTGCTGACCCGAGGTCAGCGACTTAAGCTGACCTCACCAGAACAAACAGTATACCATTCGACGCGCCGGAGCTAGGCAAACACAAAAATGCTAAAATCGCTGCTCTGCGACCATTTGTTGCGAAGTTATCTATCAAAAACCGGACCCGTAATTTGGATCACTTGAAATGACCTCAGGGGTCACCAATGAACCAGAGACCCTAAAATGTGGTATCATTCGATCCATCTTGTAACGGCGCACATGCTCGTTTTTTTCCGCAAGGTTCTAGCTCCATTAGAGGCGAAACGGCGAGCTGGGGTCGTACCGAACCCCCGGAAACCCATTTTGTATACATTTAAATGAGGAACTTATAGAAAGAACACCTTTCTAATTTTTTGCATGTCGATTTTAAAGCACCTGAGGTTTATTTTGAAGAAATAAAAATGGCAAAAATTTCGGTCCCAAGGGCCATTACAGACAATTTAAAGAAATACTACGACTTTTTTCAATATGTAAAGCTTTTCTTTCCAATTTTAAAAATACTGTATTAATCTTTGATTCATCGTTAGTTCAAAGCTGTTTACCGTTTGTTGCTTGCTTATCTCGTTTTTGAGTTATAGCTCATCAAACTCACCCTTACAATCTGAAGTTTAGAAAATATTATGCAATGTAACTCAAAAAGTTTTTATCTGAGAAGTCTGATATTTTGGCAGGTGTTTTTGGAGCCTATGATTACCCCTTGTACCAATTTTCATTCAAATCTGAGAGATGAGGGTGACGGGCCTGGTACGATCTATCGTGGAATGCCCCCGCTTCCATTGTTATTTGCAACGAAGAATAATGAATAGTCAGGCATTTGTGTTTTCTTCCTATAATGGTATTCGATGGAGTTGTGCCTTGTGGTATGAGTGAGGTGAGCTTGCATACTTGTTACGCTGCTAATGACATTCAGGCCGGGGGGATCCAGGGCGTCGCAAGTCCATCTACGACACGTCGCAAGTTACGACACATGTTCCGTCGCAAGTTGTGTCGTAGCGAAAAAGGAGGGATGTTGAGGAAAGAGGGGTTTGTCGGAGGATACGACAGAACGTAGCTGCGACAAGGTTTAAATACCCGCTTTACTCGAGAATTTAAAAGGCTACACGATCAGCTGATCCCGTAGTAAGCGTCAGTAAGGTCGAAAACTCTATCAAGCATAAAGGAACATTCGTCCTTCTGGTTTGCGAGCTTATGAGACAGCCAGTTCAAGCATGTTCTCTGATTCTGAAGCTTTGTCTCACCTGGGTGACTTGTGGTTGCTAACGCTCACGTGAGTTGCCATGAATTTTGCGATCGATCACAAGAGATTCGTGGCGCTATAGGGCATCTAGAAGCGATGCTTTAGAAGAAATGAGTTAAGAGAGTATGAGGTCACAGAGAGTTAGTAGAGTTGGAGATTGAGGTCACAATTGGAAGTTACAGAGGTCATCTGGGACACTTCAGGTCACGGAGGTCAACTTGGGGTCATCACAGAGCTCAATTGGAGACCACGGAAGTAATCTGAGACACGTCAGGTCACAGAAGGCAACTTGGGGGCACGTCAGGTTACAGAGGTCAACTCGGGGTCATCACAGAGCTCAATTGGGGGTCATCTGGGACACGCCAGGTCACAGAGGTCAGCTTGAGGTCATCAAAGAGCTCAATTGGAGGTCACGGAGGTCATCTGGGACACGTCAAGTCACAGAGGTCAACTTGGGGTCATCACAGAGCTCAATTGAAGGTCATGGCGGTTATCTGGGGCACATCAGGTCAGATAGGTCAGCTTGGAGTCATCAGAGGGGTCACTTAGAGGTTACAGAGGTCATATGGGACACGTCAGGCCACAGAGGTCAATTTGAGTTCATCACAGAGCTCAATTGGAGGTCACGGAGGTCATCTGGGACACGTCAGGTTACAGAGGTCAACTTGGGGTCATCACTGAGCTCAATTGGAGGTCATCTGGGACACGTCAGGTCACAGAGGTCAACTTGGGGTCACCACAGAGCTCTATTGGAGATCACGCAGGTCATCTGTGACACGTCAGGCTACAGAGGTCAACTTGGGGTCATCACAGAGCTCAATTGGAGGTCATCTGGGACACATCAGGTCACAGAGGTCAGCTTGGAGTCATCACAGAGCTCAATTGGAGGTCACGGAGGTCATCTGGGACACTTCAGGTAACAGAGGTCAACTTGGGGTCATCACAGAGCTCTATTGGAGGTCATGGGGGTCATCAAGGGACACGTCAGGTCACAGTGGTCAACTTGGGGTCATCACAGAGCTCTATTGGAGGTCACGGAGGTCATCTGGGACACATCAGGTTACAGAGGTCAACTTGGGGTCATCACAAAGCTCAATTGGAGGTCATCTGGAACACGTCAGGTCACAGAGGTCAACTTGGGGTCATCACAGAGATCAATTCGAGGTCATGGGGGTCATCTGGGACACATCGTTTTTAGAATTTGGAGAACCTTTTGGGGGATGCCCCTCGCAACGTCCAAGACCGCCTTTCTGGATTCGCCAGTAGTTGCTGGAATGGTGTTAGGCTACTTCATATCCATGAATACCCCAATAAATGTGAATATAACATATTATGCACCATGTTCAACACTCTCGCTGGCGCGGATTGAGGCCTCATAGACGAACCGTTGGTTCTTGCTTTATAACTCGCGTTAGCGGCAACGGATTGCAACGCAATTTTCAGGATCTCAAGTTTCAACAATTTTCCACGTACCATGCAAATTTCGTGACCATGACCCCAATGACCTGTGACCTGTGACCTCTCCCTCAAGGCCATATCAACTTGCGACACAACTTACGACTGCTATTTCATATTCGTAAGTTGTGTCGTAAATCAGGCACTTTGCGATAGACTTTACTTCTTAAGTAACGCTACTCATCAATTGATCCCTCCAAAAACGACTTACTACACAACTTGCGACACGTCGCAGCTGCGACGAGGCTTACGACGCTCTGGATCCCCCCAGCCTCAGTGATTTCAGAAGCCGGTGCATCAATAAAGACAGAAAAATGCAAAGACACAGTCGGACGTCGGGTACCACAACCAAAATGTCGAGGCTAAATGTTTAATTAAATCGGTAACTTTGCCGATATTTTTCCTTACTGATGGAAAAATATCGGCATTAATGGCAAAGGTAACGTTTATGAATAACTTACCTTCAATCTGAAAGTGGCCACTATAAATACGCCCTCAATATATGTCAATTCCCAGAAGGCTCACTCACTCCCAATTCCCAGTGAGTAAGTTTCAACAAACTCACTCTCCAATGGCATTGAGGGAAGGCTTTTGAAAACTTACTTTACCCGAGGGATGATTATAAAATAGAATACCCAGTTCACTTCTGGGTTTGCAATGCAGTCTTCTGATTTGCAATGCATACATATTTTGTGACCGCGCTTTTGAAATGCGTCATCGCAGCAGCAGCTGGGCCAATAGACTCGAGGACTCTTCTTTGCAGTGTTGATTTATCTCTGCTGCCAAGCATCAGATTTAACCCGCGCCCTGATGGGGGGGGGGCATTTTGGCCCCCCCTGTGGTTTTTCTTAAATAGCGAGAAAACGGCGGCGCGCAGCGCCGCCAAATTTTGGGTACCTTACCGGACATCAATTTGACACCTTCACACAAAATTTCAAGTCACAGGTCACCTCAGGTCAGGAGTTATTGAGGTCAAACTGAGGTCATGTTCGAGTAAAAATGAGCAAAAAAACATGACATCTTGAAACGCTCACCAATTCTACAGTTAACAAGCAATTTTAAAGTTCTTTATGTGGTTGTGTAGAGAAAAAACGGCGCTACAAAACTGTTATCTCGGATTTTCGAAATTTTTGGATTTTGACCCCCCCCCCCCCAAAAAAAAAATGATTTTTTTTAACTCAAAAAATTTCCAATTTTTTTCGAATTTCGAAAAAAACCGGAATACATGTGATAGTCCCTGCGTTCTTCGATATACATACCAAGTTTTAGATCGATACCTCTTTTTTTGGCCAAGTTATAGCGAAAAAACTGTTAAAAATTGATGACGTCAAATTTTTGAACTCAATTTTTAGCAATTCTAGACCTCGTAGCGCAAAACGGAGACCACCATTGAACTCCCCGTGACGAGCTGCATCGAATCGATACCCATTTTATGCAAAAATATCAACTTTGAAATTTGACCTAATTTGACCTGACCTTGACCTGACCTTGACCTGACCTTGACCAAAACGTGACCTAAGCTGGCCCTAAAGTCTGTCTGACCCACATAATCGCATTTTTTCATGTAAAATGGACCATAAAACATGTATCACACGACACTTTCATATTGTGACCCCCCAGCCAGTGACCTGACCTCTGTGACCTGACCTGGTATCAGTGACCTCAAATAGCAAAATATGTGTTTGAAGAACATTTCCCCATCGATAATTTTCAATGAAATGCATTTTACACGATTTTACAACGCATTTCTTGAAATGCCTGTAAACGGTGAAAATTCGACCTTTGACCTGACCTGTGACGTCATCGGTTTGACCGAGGTCAATGAAATTGGGTCACAAGGTAGTTCCCCGTTGGGGCTATCCAACACCGTTTACCGCTTGTCGCTATGTTGCGTGGTTCTCGAGATCTGAGGGGGGGGGGGCCAAAATGGCCCCCCATCAGACCGCGTTGCTCGGCAGACCCCATCTGGGCGCGGGTTAAGAGTACCTACATATGCTCTCAATCACTGGCGGATCCATAGAGGGGCAGCACTTGGGGCATTTGCCCTTCCCGTAGCTCCCATAAGACGTTCTGCCGATTCCCCCAAATAAAAAGAATGTTTATTTCACAAGCTTATCAGAGAGAAGCTTAGGCTTATCTCTGTTGAAAAGGTATAAGAAAGAAGTTTCTGAAGAGATTTGGGATTTTCGATATTTTAAGTGCAACCCTCGCAGCGATGAAACAAGAACAAAACTGATAAAGGGGGCTTGTAGCCTCTTTTAATCATGAGCCACTTCTCTGAATCCGCCAATGCTACCAACGCATGTGCTTAAGCACCACGGCACGTATCGAGTAGAAAATGCAGATCTCGCCCTGCACTTGCGCCGGTGCGGGGCTCACTGCTAAGTGCTGCGCTCGCTCGTTTGTCGCCACAAAAAGGCATCTTGCTGGTGATAGTCTGACATCACACTTCTGTTTCCTTTTGCTGTACTCTAGGCCACCATTAGTAACTCGGATGGGTGATGACGTCACTCCATCTAAACCTGCTTTTGATATAGGCATCTGGAGCTCATGCTTCCTCAAACAATTGCATGAGTCTGAGACTCTAGCAGCGCCCAGCGGAGTCGATTCTTTGGGCTAGATAAGTCAGATCGTCAGGGAATGGTGATTAGTAGAAAACATAGTGTAGCCATGATAACTGCTTGGGACAACAGTGCGCCGATAATCACTGATAGTGATTGATCACTGATCGGTTTAGCCACCTCTGCATTGCCGTTTTGGAGAAGGCATCCACTTTGTCGCGCCCAGTATGCACAATCATCTCAGTTGTCTACGCAAATGATCTACAATTTCAACATACATAAGAACAACTTTGTTTGAACTCGACCACACTCATTTAACCCGCGCCCAGATGGGGTCTGCCGAGCAACGTGGTCTGATGGGGGGGGGGGGGGCCATTTTGGCCCCCCCCCCCTCAGATCTCGAGAACCACGCAACATAGCGACAAGCGGTAAACGGTGTTGGATAGCCCCAACGGGGAACTACCTTGTGACCCAATTTCATTGACCTCGGTCAAACCGATGACGTCACAGGTCAGGTCAAAGGTCGAATTTTCACCGTTTACAGGCATTTCAAGAAATGCGTTGTAAAATCGTGTAAAATGCATTTCATTGAAAATCATCGATGGGGAAATGTTCTTCAGACACATATTTTGCTATTTGAGGTCACTGATACCAGGTCAGGTCACAGAGGTCAGGTCACTGGGGGGGTCACAATATGAAAGTGTCGTGTGATACATGTTTTATGGTCCATTTTACATGACAAATGCGATTATGTGGGTCAGACAGACTTTAGGGCCAGCTTAGGTCACGTTTTGGTCAAGGTCAGGTCAAGGTCAGGTCAAGGTCAGGTCAAATTAGGTCAAATTTCAAAGTTGATATTTTTGCATAAAATGGGTATCGATTCGATGCAGCTCGTCACGGGGAGTTCAATGGTGGTCTCCGTTTTGCGCTACGAGGTCTAGAATTGCTAAAAATTGAGTTCAAAAATTTGACGTCATCAATTTTTAACAGTTTTTTCGCTATAACTTGGCCAAAAAAAGAGGTATCGATCTAAAATTTGGTATGTATATCGAAGAGCGCTGGGACTATCATATATATTCCGGTTTTTTCGAAATTCGAAAAATTTTTGGAAATTTTTTGAGTTTTTCTAAAAAAATCAATTTTTTTGATTTTGGGGGGTCAAAATCCCAAAATTTCGAAAATCCGAGATAGCAGTTTTGTAGCGCCGTCTTTTCTCTACACAACCACATAAAGAACTTTAAAATTGCTTGTTAACTGTAGAATTGGTGAGCGTTTCAAGATGTCATGTTTTTTGCTCATTTTTACTCGAACATGACCTCAGTTTGACCTCAATAACTCCTGACCTGAGGTGACCTGTGACTTGAAATTTTGTGTGAAGGTGTCAAATTGATGCCCGGTAAGGTACCCAAAATTTGGCGGCGCTGCGCGCCGCCGTTTTCTCGCTATTTAAGAAAAACCACAGGGGGGGGCCAAAATGGCCCCCCCCCATCAGGGCGCGGGTTAAATATCTATGAATCGCGGATGCCGTACACGTATCAACGTTCAGCTGAGCGTTACCTCAAAAACGCCTCGTCTCCAATGCTGTTGTCGGTGCCAGCTAAAGAATCTGTAGAATCGACAGCACCCGACCCAAAACCACCACATCTCTGCAGGGCTGCCTCTCGAGACTCGGAGACGGTCACTGGGACTGGGGTCGGGCACTGGGGCAGGGGATGGAGGAACGCTCTGAGTCGACCCGCATCAACGCTACAGGCGAGGAGGCGCCTGCGGTCAGGCTCCACCCCCGCCCGCGTTGGCTCCGCCCGCTGCGCTCTGATTGGTCGATACGGCGGCATGTGACTGAGTGGCCGGGGATCGCCTCAGGCACTCGCCGGTACGCAGCCCGCGGCTGAGGACGGCGGTGGAAGGTCACGTGGTGTATCGCCTGGGGCATCGGTGGTGACCGGTGGATCGTGACACCGCGTCACCGTGGCACGGAGGTAAGTCAATTAGCGTAGAAATATTGGGGACATGATAAATGTTCGTGAGATCGGTATGCTGAGCGTCAACTGCTGTTTCAGAAATGTTGAGCAGAAAATATCGAGCAGAATATCTAAGCAAGGTGTTCAGTGTTCACCTGCCTGCATCAATGCATTTTTGCTTGCCAAATAGGCAATTAATGCTATTGTAGAGCGTATCCATCTCGGGGATTACCGGTGGCCAGTGTCCAGCAATTTCTGGGTCACAGGGGACAGGCCGTCCTCAGAAAAGAACACGCCTTCATGTTCTAGCGTATGAATGCTTCCTGCTTAAGCATTTTTAAATTCTTCTTTAAGCTTTTGGATCAAATTGACTTTGTCCATAGATCTACGAGGCAACGAGGCCTTGACGACCATTTACAGTGATGGCCTTCATAGCACATACGTATAATCCAAGTATGTTACTTACCGTTTGATTGGGTTGTCGCCACTTGAGAGAAAGAAGTCAAATTACGACGGACTTAATTGTTCAAAGACAGTCTTATAAGTCCGCAGTCCGCACCCATCAACTGAGGATCACTTTCGCCAGCAGTCATATATCAATCTCTGGATCGACTCAAATCCACATTTTCACCGGGTTGGATGTCCCATGTTTTATCAATGGGGTTCTTCGTTGACAAATAGCTCTATTGATGATGATGCTGATTGCTGAATTGAGATAATACCTACATTCACAATTACATCGTGTTATAGACGCGTATTGCCGACTTTTATGTCGAAGCGCTCTTAAAAACTGAACACATTTTGCTCTAGCATCCATAAGGAAACATAAATAGGACAGTACGCGAAGCCATGATTTTTGTGACGTTCCATGGCAAGTTGCACTGGGAGAAAGGCGATTTGTGTGGCAGCGTAGCTTATTTGTGTTCGTCTTATTTTGACAATTTAGAAGCTTTTCGTCTAATTTCCTGAATAGAGAATTGGAAGTGTGAACAGACTACTGATGCATTTCGCCAACAACTGAGGTGCCAACTTTCTATAGAAAATTTAATGTAGTGGATGGTGTTTTTTGCCATGATTACTGTAAGTAAGATTGGAAAGAAATTGATCATTAACATGGCACAAATGTATTATTTTAATGTTTGATATGGTCATTAACCTATACTCGCCACCGTGCCGACCGAATACACTACGGCCTATTGTGCTCTGCACTGAGTGCACCTACCACTGCCTGAGCGCAATGGCCGCGGCTATGGCGGCCATAAAACTTGTGGTGGATCTTCCAGTTGTAAGATGGCCAGGAACTCTCTGTAGCCATGAACTTCACAATCCATCAATGTCCATCAAAATGACAAGGAAGCTCCTATGAGAATGTATGTAGGCTCTGGCACCCATTCGAATGAAGAGCTCTAAGATATCTGATAACCCTCGATCTGTTACCAATGGAACAAAACAAAAACTGCTTTGCCGCTGTTTAAAAAACGGAATATATGTAATAGAACACCCAAAGAGAATTTAGGGGAGGTTGGAGTAAGGCTGCTTTTTTAGAAAGCGTTACATCTCGAAATCGACGACATATTTCTGCATTTTCTCAACGCTGGCAGGTGGGGCATTCCACGATAGATCGTACCACTTTGTTCCAATTTGACACCCTCATCTCTCGGAATTTGACGAGAAATAGTCTCAGGGGTAATCAGGGGCTCTGAATCCACCTGTAGCAATTTCAGGCTTATCAGATAAGTATTTTTTTGGGTTATGGTGTATAACATTTTTTGGATCTTGCTTTGCAGCACTAAGTTTGGCGGGCTGTAACTCTAAGACGGATTATTCAAATGCCAAATGTTATATAACATTGAACTTGCAATGAAACAGAGATTGATATGTATTTTTGAAATTTTGAAAAATACGCTATTTTTATATATGACATATCAAGTTTTCTTTCATTTGTATTTTTTGAACTTTGGGACCAATTTTTTTTTGGAGTTTTTATTTCTTTAAAAAAATATTTGGCTCATTGTTAAGAAGTATGCAAAAAAAAAATAGGAAGGTGTTCTTTCGATAAATGTATTTATTTTACGTCACGATAACGGTTTCGAATAGTGATTTCGGGAGGGGAGCTTACAAATGGCGTGGTAAAGCTGCCTAGTGACATCACGGGTTACTGAAAATTCAATTGAAGTCTGAGTCATCTGAAAAAAAAATGAAAAGAGGGTTTATCCAACCCTCTTTCCTATAAGCGCGAGAGTGAAAAAGGCTGTTTGGTTCTGACTTGTTTTGGACGCCAATGACCATAGCTGTCCGAGATGAAAGTTACAGGACGCATACATGGTGTCCTCCAGAGGTCTCACAACTTGTATATCTGAAAATTTTTTAAGGTCACATGAGGTCAGGTCGGTCACGTGACATCACTATTATCAGTCTATGGGCAAAAATAAAAAGTGTTATTTTGGCGCCGAGAATGATCTAAAATTATCTCTCGTACATGGTATCGTGATTTCTTGCACTCCTTGCAAAGTCCAATGCTTCACTTTTGAATTGTTAGCCTTGCGTGACGTCATTTATGACGTCACTGGGGTCGTACGAGTTTTTCCTCAATAACTCCCGATCAAATTGAGCTAGAGAGTCGGGAAAGCCACCAATGGACTCGGGAAGACCTTCCGAATCGAATGATATGCCATATGATAACCTTTGCGCAGGTTCGTGACCTGAGAGGCTCTGACTCAACCTTGACCCGAGGTCAACTCCTTAAGTTGACCTCACCCTAACAAAAAGTATACCATTCGACGCACCCGAGCTGCAGAACACAATGATGCCAAAATCGGCGCGGCTCTGCGGCCATTTTTTGCGAAGTTATTTACTAAAAACGGAACCCGTAACTTCAGTCACTTGACCTGACCTGAGACGCTACTGGTTAAGCTGAGACCTTAAAATCGGGTACCAATCGCTGCGACTTGTAACGGCACACACACTCATTTTTTCCGCGAGGCTCTAGCTCTATTAGAAGCGAAACGGCGTGCTGGAGTCGTATCAACCCCTCCGAAACCCATTTTGTTTGCGGGAAAACGAGGAACTTATAGAAAGAACACCTTTCTCATTTTTTGCATGTCGACTTGCAATGACATGAAGTTTATTTTGAAAAAAATAAATATGTGAAAAATTTTGGTCCCATAAGTCATTAGAGGCAAATAAAAAAAGATTTAGTTTTTTTCAACAATGAAAATTTTTCTTTGGAATTTTTAAAAGGTAATATTAATTTTTGATTCATCACAAGCTTAGTGCTGTTTACCGCCATCAAACTCCATCAAACTCACCGTTACAAACCGAAGTTATAAAATGTAATGCAATATAACTCAAAAAGTTTTGATCTGAGAAGTCTGATATTTTGCCTGGCGTCTTTGGGGCCTATGATTACCCCTAGTACCGATTTTCATTAAAATCTGAGAGATGAGGGTGACGGGCCTGGTGCGATCTATCGTGGAATGCCCCAGGTGTCACATTCATTTTACTTTCCTGCACAGTAAACGCAAAATTATAGTTACTACTTACGTGGGGTGAACGAAAAGTTTCGAGTCTAACACAGTTACAGGTGACGCAGGTTAATGAAAATTTGGTCACGCATTTTGCCACTATTCTTATGTGTGTACAACAAGTTTTGAAGTCCTAGTCCTTTTCGTATCGTTTTTAGAGCCCGTTAAAGTGAAGAAGACTCCGCGTTTGGTGAAAACGGAGAAAATCGAGAACCAAGCTTTTATAAAGTATTGCGATTTGAAAGTCATGCCTTTATCTGAAATTAAAAAGGACCTGAAATTAAACTTATTGGTTGTGGCCAATCATATGGCACTACTAAGGTTTGGGCTGCTAATTGCAAGCAGGGCAGGAACAGCGTCCAAAATGAGCAAATATCAAAAACGCCATAGAATGTGACAAAATCCGAAAACCTTGACCCTGCTCTAGGGATGTGGATGCTGGATCCAAGACTGTGATCTCATCAGATAGCGGTGAGAATGTAAGTACATCTCCCAGGAGCAAGCTGGCGACATTCTTACCAATGGGCATGACATATGCAAGGTCTTATGTCATGTCATTCACTTCAATCCAGCTTTGGAAGAACAGTGGAGTCAGTGAAAGAACGTACATCTGTACATACTCTAATCTATTCGTTGCATACAATGTCATTCAAAGGTCAAGGTCAAGGTTAGGTCAGGTCAGGTCAGGTCACCAAAAACAAAATATAGAAAAGGGCATGTGCAACACATGTTTTATGGGTCATTTTACTCATAGAATTCAATAGGCACACTCAATAAGTGATATGGACCACCTCTGGATGAATGTCAGGTCGAGGTCAGGTCAAGGTCAGGTCAAGTGAGGTCAAGTTTTGAAGTTGGTTGTTAAGGCCTAAAAAGGTGTCTATCTGATGCAGTTTTTTCACGGCGAATCGAATGGTGCTATTTTTGTTTCCGTAGGAGGTCTAGAACTTCCAATAAAATCATTTTTCAATTTTTTTTTTGTGTCGTGACGTCATAAAATTTTGAAAAAAAACTCCCACATTTTTTAACCGACTCTTCTAAAAATTGGTATGTAGGTGCACATAGACCACTTCTTTGACATACATTCCGGTTTTCGATACACTCAAAGTTTTGGATTTTATAAATATTTTCCCAAAAGTCAGTTTTTTAACCCGGCAGTTGCTGGGGTATTTCGCCACCCACCGTTTGCTGGGGGGGGGGGGGGCGTTAAACGCCCCCAGCCGATAACTCGAGAACCAATAGGCGTAGCGAAACGCACGAGGCGGCAAACGAAAGAGCGCGACGAGACGCTTCAGATGAGTACTTCAAAGTTGAATTTTGAGGTCACAGGTCGGGTCAAGGTCAGGTCAAACACCTGAAATCGGGCTTTCAGTAGCATGGACTTCAGGACTTCTCAATGGGCGCCTCTCGTCATAAACTCTGTCCAAACGATGCACAATCCATCATATATGGCCTACAAGAGTGTTAGCTCCATGTAGGGGTCAGTCAAGCATA